ATATGCGGAGCCAAGTGGGGGCCCCCAGTGCATGCAAACCACTCTACACCTTCAAGAACACATGAAAGCTGAAGAGCAGTGAGTAAAAAAGAACAACATTTTTGGTGGAGTCGGGGAGGAAGAGGCCGCTAGTGAGAGAGTAGTACTTAATAAGAACCCATATCTACATGGACAAATAAAGTGCGAACTTGCTGCTGCTGCTGCAGGTGCTGCTGCTGGTGCTGCTGCTGCTGCAGGTGCTGCTGCTGCTGCTGCTGCTGCAGGAAACCAATCAAGACTCTGCCCCTGCTGCTGCTTGCAAGGAATCCAGCTGCTGCTGCTGCAGGCCCCCACCAACCCGCAGCTACAGGAACAGCATGCCTCTCTACATTTCTCGCTTGAGGGAGCTGTTGCTGCGCCCCTCACTCTTGTTCTTCTTATCTTGCCGCGGTTTCCGCTGTCGTTGCGTTTGCTGCTTATCTTTTTGCTGCTTATCCTTAGCAGCCCCAGGGCTACTGGGTTTCACTTGGTCTGTGTACAGACGCGAGACCTCAAAAAGTCGTTGACTGAAGCTAGAGGCCTTCTCCCCTTCGACCTGCAGAGCAGCAGCAAACCACATAGCAGCAGCAGCACTTCTTGAGGGTCCAGTTATACTAGATGGCGTGGTGTATCTAGAACAAGCACAGGATCAGGGTTTAGGGTTTCGGGTTTGTTCGCAGGGTTTAGGGTTTCAGGTTTGCAGGGGGCAGACCTGGATAGATATCTTCTTCTTTCCGTCCGTCGCACGCACGAGACAGACGGGAACAGCCTCAGGCTTCTCCTCACAGCCCTCCAGTTTACGCCGGCGTTTGGCTCCGCGGGAGCCGCCGACTTCGGGGAAAGCTGCGCAGGAAAAAAAGGTTCAGCAAAAGTGTTCGAATGAATTGGGGGGTTAGGGTTTCCACAAACCAAATACGATGTAAATACACCCCAGAAACCTCCCCCATCGGTGCTCCACACCGGAAAGCTGGTTGCTGCGCCGAAACCGTAAACACTAGCAACGAATCCTACTTGTTGCATGAAGGCTAACACACATATAACGCTTTTCTCGTGCTGACTGTGCTCCTATGTTGAGATAGAAAAGCCAATGGAAAGAGGGTCTAGGATTTGCATTCAACTTAGGTTGTAGTGTTTAGGGCTGAGGGTTTAGGGTTTAGGTACTCCGCTTGAAGGTGATCCACACAGATCCGCTGTTCTTGCTCCTGCTGTCCTCGTAGAGGCGCCGCAGCGCCTCAAGGAACTCGGCTTCTCCAAGTAGTCCCATCACCCTTATTGTTCCTCTATTTCATTTCCAGCTGCTGTTGCTGCTGCTGCTGCTGCTCGTTCTGACGGTGCTGTTGCAGCGGCGGCTGCGGCTGCCCGAGTTGTTGGTTTGTCTATCACAACCACCTCAGGACAATAAAATAAGGAAAAATAACAAAACAACCAGGATAACACGAAGACGAAAATAGGTAACAAAGCACGAAACGAATCGTGAGCATGCGCAGCATCTGTGGCTTTTGCTTCGGCTGCTGCAGCCGCGGGGCGCAGTCTGCATATAAAGCCAAGCTGTCCATAATTGTGACTTTAAACTTAATCGAAATACTGTGTTTTTAATTCGATTGAATGTCCTTTGTTTCTAAATGGACTATACACAAGAATGTAGCTGCAGTCGCTTCGGGGTTCCTCATAACCGCCTGCGTAAGCAACGGTGCGTGTAGGCTAGTTGGCACGTGTATCTTTATTTGTGTAGAGGCTGGCTATGCAAGGCCAAGTGAGTGTTCAACAATTGTCTATAGTATCAGTTCATGCAGATAGGCTGGTTGCTCCTGCTTGCGGGGTTGCCTTGCAGCAGGATTTGCAACGTGTATGCAGCATGGGCTGTCTGCAGTTAGCACGGGAGCATTCACTGGGCCTTCGTAGGTTGCCTGCAAGCAATTACAAGTGGTACACAAGTGTCTACAGAGGTAAAACATGTAGTACAGGAAGCTTCGTTGAAACTTCCTCGTGCACACACGTGAGGCTGCCTGGCCAACTGGGGCAAGGTGCTTTGTAACTCAACTCGAGTTAGGCATCCTCCTCCCCAGCAACCCCAGGCCCTGAGCTGAAAGCCCAGGATGTCTGGAGACAGGGGAGGGAGGTCACCTGCTGGGGGGGAACTCTTACCTCAACTTTTTGCGTTCATCGCAGCTCCCTGTAGTCATTGGGCAATGAAGGAGAATGTGCACGGCACTTGGTAGTGTAGCATAGTTCATCGGAACCAATGCGAGCAACGAATTCCACCCTTGCAGGGTGGAATCGCATAGCTGAAAAAAAGATGATTTTTGTCGTCTTGAACAAGATCGCCTCCAAATTTCTGCCGTCTCCCTTATACGCGATGGATATTGATAATGATCTGCCCGCATGTGGGGGGGCCACGTACGTTCTGGAGCATCACCGAGCAGAAGAAAGCTCTTTATTGGTACTCATGGTGGGGGACAGTGCATTTTTGCCAATAACCATTCAGGGGGAATGCAATGCGACTGTGCCGACCAAACAGATGTGAGTGAGGCCGCGATGGAGTTAAGGAGTCCCTTGGTTCCCTCGACTTGTGCTTTCGCCTTCAAAACGCACCCTAAGAAGTACAATGGCTGTCGACATCTCTAGTAGAAGGGGACGCGCGACGATGGTGGCCACATCTAAGCAGAAGTTCTGCTCTCACTGAACACTTCCTGTCCCTGCAAGGCCTCCGAGATGTGCTACGTTGCAGCTCTATTACCAGGTCTGCGAGGGAACTGACGATAAGATAACTGAGAAAGCGTAGGCAGAAGAAGCTGTAGATAGAGCTCTACATCGAGGAGAGTCATTCCTTGGTGAACAGAATTCTAATGGTCAACCCGGAGCTATTCATAGAAGGGCTGAGCCGCCGAAAGTGGCAATCGGTAACTGGCTAGGCCAACTGCAGTGAAATGAAGGGTGAAAGCGTGTATCTCGCTGATCTGATGGAGTGCCTTCGCAGAAAAGAGAGGGGAAACGTCACTTCCCCAGTCCTAGCTGAAAGCTGGTTTGGAACCGGCGCGGATTTAGAGCCAATGAATATTGGGGAAGTGACTGCTAAGCTAGACCAGCGGGGGAGTAGAAGCAGTAACCGGCAGTTGCCAGCCAATTCAGCACCCAGAAGATCAGAAGTACGTACTAAGCGACGTATCCGTTTTCTTCGCAATAAACAAGGTCCCATAGTGCGAGATTGCAGACGCATGGAAAGAGCCAAAGAACTAGAGAAGCTAGAGTTCGAGCAGTTCCGCAAGCGAGGCAAACAAGATGAGCAGGGAAACGCTCGGACTCCCCCAAAGCGTGCGGCGCAGTGATGGGGCAGAAAGAGATGACAGCAGCACCCGCAGATTCAAGTCGACTCGGCTGTGTGCTTATACAAGCTCGTATTGATGCTCAGGCCTTGCTAGCTATCGTTGATACCGTATGATAAGTAGATCTGTCCTCGAAGGGCTGGCTATGGCAAGGATGTCACCTCGGTCACCCGCACAGGGTAAGGGGTGTTCTGTCTTTTTAG